TTTTTTTTTTTTTTTTTTTCAATTTATTATCTTTACCTAGAGAAAGATTGTATGATAATTTGAAAGCATTTTAACTGTTAATACAATGAATGTCTAAAATGAACTTAGGTTGGATACGGCGATATGACGCCGCATACAGCACTTGGACGACTGGTTGGAAGTTTATGTGCTGTTATGGGTGTGTTAACCATTGCATTGCCAGTTCCCGTAATTGTTGGCAACTTTGCTATGTTCTATTCACATGCCCAAGCCAGGGATAAGTTACCAAGAAAGAGAAGAAGAGTACTACCTGTTGAACAGGTTGCTTATCGGCTTCACCTATATTCTTCTTTTTTTTTTCTCTCTCATTAAATAGCTAAACAGATTAACAGTAGTGCTTAGTTAAAACAACTGATTTTGAGCGCCTACAACCATCTGGTAAATCTTTTCGAAATATAACATATAGTAAATAGAGTATGCAATTTCTAGGTACGTATGCAAGTTCGACGTCATGTTGCTGCAATGCAAATTGCTAATGTTCAGCGTCGAAATACATTGGTAACTTCTTCGACTCCAACACAACAAAACGGTAGTTTATACTAAATTGCAATTCCTGATTGCATTAACACTACTATGTTCTCCAGTTACCACTTTGCTTAAAAATAAATTTTCTTTCTGAAAAAAAAAATGTAGAATTTTGTCAATTTTTACTTTCCATGTACTACACAGTAAAAAGTGACAAAAAGAGACAAACAATAGAACCACGTTTTCTTCCGGTTTTTTCCTCCCTTATATCCTTCTGGTTTTTCAAAAAAAAATGATAATTGAAAAAAAAGACAAAAAAACAACATTCAGTGTATGTTACAGAACGAATAATGATGTATCGCTGTTATATACCGAGCGTATATACATCAATCGTTTTTTTGTTCTATTTTTTACCCCGTTTTATTTTGAATAATAATTCTAAAACGAATGAACGAATGCTGAAAACATATAGTTTATTTGCAGTCCATTCAATTTTTTTCCCACTACTATTATACAAGATTTTATGTCATTACTTTTGTTGCAGAAGAAAGTCGTGACGACGATGAAACTTTGCTGTCAAATGAGGTGAAGAAGCAAAAATGGAAAGGTGAACTGTTTCTGGGCAAAGAGGAGAAACGAAACGGCCCAAAAGGTAACATTTGAATTGCTGTTGCACTCCATTAAAGCTGCCGTAAACAATTGTTGAGAGTCTAAAACAATGGTAAGAATTAAATCCATATAGATGACCAAATTTTATACCAGTAATTAGAAGGTGACAATTTTTTTACCTTTAAAAGCTTGCTAGTGCTTCAGACTAAAAGTACTAATCCTTAAATTGATGTTGTTAGAGTATATTGCACTTTTGCTAGCTTTTGTCATCGGTTTATACATCTCTCACAAATACCAATTCTTTTAATCCAAAAATATATGTTTAATATCCTGATATAATTATCAAAACAAAAGACACCATTCCCATTACCAATATTAAGTGGTTAACGAAATTTACGATAAGTTTAACAAAACACTAACCACAAAAAAATTATGCTCTTGAAAATATGGTACCGTCCATACTAAAACGTTCTGAGACATATGTATATACATATTTGCACAAACGTATTTGTAAAAAAATTTGGTCAGGTTTATCAAAAATTTCGTTGTCAATTGTATTCAGATTTCCATCTCAGATAAGCTTCATAGGCGTACAGCGCACATGTGGATATTAGGAAGAGCTAAACCAATATTCCACATTAATGTTCAAGGCATCGAATTTGTTTAACTGCTAAGCAGAAAAAATTTCTTGTATGATAATCCAAAAAAATAGAACCAAAAAATTCTATAGGTAACTATAACTAACCGTACAAAAAAGCCACTGGGAAACAAAGTGAACAGAACATAGATGGATTATTAGCGCGACTATACTACACGCATAAAGTACTGTTGCAAATGTAGCAAATAAACGTTCCTAAATAAATTGATAATTAGGCAAAACTTTTATTAGCCTAAACTTCTGCGCGTTAATTGGTAGCCAGAATACTGTTGACTAATCAGAGCAAAACCTAAACTTTAGTCTGCTAGTGAAGCCCACTCAGAGACAGGAAAAAACTGTCTTACAAAGCAACGAAAGGCGCCTGAGCCAAAAGCACTAAAACTGGTGGTTGGCATTAGACAACGTCCGTTTTAATCTGTTTTCCAGTCGTCTTTCATCATTTCCCCTTCTCGTCTGTCTCTCAACTCTACCCCTCTCCCCTCACTTGTCCCCTTCTATAACCCCGGTTTTCTATCAAAGCATCTGCAAAAATTTTTTTAGACAAGATAAAGAAATAAACAAAAATCATCATCATTGCCATAATCACCTGACCAAATTGTTTTTTGGAAATTTGTTGATATCATTTAAAAATTAGACAGCATCATGACGAAAAAAAAAAAAAGAAAGGTTCTATGTGCAAACGAACGTACGTATATGAGCCTAAAATGTACCGTAGAGACTTCTATTAAGATGCCTAAAAAGCGATTGTTCACCAAGATAAACTGCTGAAACTTCTAATGGTTCAATCAGTTTTCTTCATTGGAATTTAACTCAGCCACTTAGTTCGTGCTTAATTACCCATTAAATTTTGCTTCAATTAAACTCACCAACGTCAATATTTTTAGTGTCATTATCATCACTACTAGCCGCAGCATAAATACCAACAACTGCAAGTTTTCTAGCTATTTTTTGGTTTAATAAGTTTTCAGAAAAAAACAGCCAACTTTTAGTACTGTTTTTAAAAAACAATAAATAAATAAATAAAACAGAACAAATGCATGACAGCCGTCAATCGGTGCAAATTTTTTATTCAAAAAAAGCTTTTTTTCATTTTATTTTGGCAACTCTAATGTTACTTTCCATTTTTTGTCCTTTCATCCTTCCATGCTCTAATTTAGCATTAATTTTTTTTTCTCCTTTAAGTTTAAACATTGTCACAACAGAAAAGCTTGGAAAAAAAAAAACTCCCACTCCACAATGACGACAACACTAATGATGGGCGTTTTAAAAGCTTCAACAACTTACCACTTCTTCATTCATTAATTTTGGCTCTTTTTCTTGTCTTTGTTGAGAGGAGAAATAAAAGCAGTTGCTTTCTTCTCTTCATTGTTGCTTACTTAAAATCAAAAAAAAAAAAAGATAAAACGTGGAAAAAAATGAAAAAACAAACAAACCAAAACAGGAAAGTTATATTGATAGTAGGCGTCGGGCGCGCTAAATGCGTGACATAGCAGCAATAGAAATGTGCAAATAAACACAAAACCGGTGATACAAATTCCCAAACAAAGCTGTAGGAATGAGTGAAGTTTTACCGAGCATTCCAAAAATTCTGAATTCGGGAAACATATCGTTAAACACAGCATTGTACAACCACCAAATAACTGCAAAAGAAAACAAGGAAAAGAAAACCAGAGAAAACTGAACCAAACTGATATACCAAAACTGACCGGTCGGTGGTTATTTAGCCAAAAAACCCCGTAAATGGTACTGCTGAATGATTTAAACAATAATCAGTGTTCAACTGAATTAAACTTTTTGAAAAATGTTTGATATGGTCATTGATGTACTGTCCGTTTCAACAAAAAAAATTGATTATAATTTCTGTTCCATCTCCTATGTTATCTTCATCAAAATTTTCCAGCAGTCTAGATGGCTAATAACTAGCTTAATCGTTTTGCAAACTTCTATTGATGACTGCGAAATTAAAAATACCAAATTTGCTATGCAGAAATTCGTTAGTTCTTTTGTTGTTGATAGCGGCGCTTCTTTTTTTTAGTTAAACTGATTAAATGTATAAATTGATGGATTTTAATTGAAAAATAGTTGATACGCAAAAAAATAGATTAGATTAATCGAATGAAACAGAAAAATAAGACTAAAAAAAAGAGAAAAAACAGTGCAAGCGTAAAACGGAAACTTACAAGCTGAAAAATTTTAATAAAATTATTGTGCTCTTTGTAGAAGTATAAATCGAAACGTAATGACGACTGCATATTCAATTATTGTTGCTTTTCCACTGCTGCCGTCGTCGTCGTCGTCACTGTCGTCGTCGTCGTTGTCGTTGTTGTCGGTGTTGTCGTTGGTGTTATTGTTGTTGTTGTTTCTGCTGCTTTTGTTGTTGTCGTTGTTGTTGGCGATAGTGATTTTCGTGTTGTTGGCTGCCTCTAAACGATTAAAAATAACTAATTTGATAAGACTACACTAATATAGTAAGAGAAGCCTAATCACAATGAAGGCAAGTCAATGTTTGAATCAAGCAATTTTTTGGTTTTTTTCCTGCTTTCCAGTTTTCATTTTCTAATTTTCAGCTTTAGCTTTTAGTTCAGCTTTTTTTCCCCTGCTTCGTTTTGATTTGTTTTCCTCTCCTTAGCCTTTTTTTTGGATTTGGGAGACCGGAGGGGAGGACCTTGATGCGTCGTGGTTAGTAAATACGCATAAATTGAAGTGCAAAGAGGAGATCCAGGAGGGAGAAGAAGCAGAATGCACGATTTGTTGCCATTGTTGTCGTTGTGGCTTGGCTTAACACACTGAAATCATTCTAAACCCAAAACATAAACTAAACGAAATCAAACCGACAGCGAAATCAAAGCGAAAAACCCTAATATAACACCCAATTTCTTGCCACCATCACATAGCCATTACCATCATCATCAACACCGATGCTTTGTTATCATCGATAAAGGCTGCATGAATCAGTTTTTGGCTCCCCTTTTGCACTTGCATCCCCTTTATGTTTGTTCTTTTCCCTTTCCTTTATTTGTTCCAGCCTCCTGAAGAAGAGAAGAGAACTACAAATTTGGAATCATCAAGTGTATTACCAGCATCATCGTCATCGTCGTCGTAGTCGTCATCGCCATCATCATCGTCTTCATCAACATCATCAACCTGAATGTTAAGCAACAAACAGCAACTTGATATGGAACTGTACAGCTGTTTGCATGTGATCCAACAACTATCAACTATTTTCATGCACAAATATGTCTATGTTATGTATACTATAGCGATAGGCAGATAAGAAACTCATAGAAATGGATGAATAGATTGATATAGGTATATGGAAATTTGTTAAAGAAAGCTTATAGCATTAAATAGAGTTTCTTTCCTTTTTGCGGTGATCAGTAGTTAACTTTAGTGTTTCAAGTTTTGTTGGAATTATTATAGGTTTACACCTTCATTTTATTCGTTGTTCTTTGAAGAATACATTGATGTTCACTACTACTTTTATTTTTGTATCAAAATTGGAAACTTTTGTTGTTTTCTATACTGCTATTTCAAAAGTTTATGCAATTAAGTTAATCTATATTTACAGCTGAAGATGTTCAATCGTTGAGTGTAGTTTCCGATGATACAGTGATGAAAAATTCAGCAATTTCAGAGCTGAAAAAAAATGTGGTGGAAAAAAATTTGCCCAACAAAATCAGTGGTGACAAAGAAATCGCTCAATTTGTTCATACGGGTAAAAAAATTTAAATGTTAAAAAAAAAGAAAAAAAAAGGTTTTTTTATTTGAAAAAGTTAAAATAAATTTAAAAAAAAAAAAAAAAAAAGAAAGAAAATTAAGTAAATGAATAAACATAAAAAATCAAAGTTTTAATGATTATAACTGATATTAAAAAAAAAAAAAATTTAGCTGGGAAAGGTCAATTTTTTTCAGTGTTTATTTGTATTTATTATCGATGTACTATTATAATTATAAACTTTTGTTTTTTGTTCTTTTTTTTTGTACTACTTTTGTTACTATTACTTTTTTGTTTATTATTATTATTATTATTATTATTATTATTATTATTTTATTATTATTATTATTATTATTATTATTATTATTATTTATAATGAACAAATATATTGTTTTATTGTTGATAGATATATATATATATGTAAATGGTGCATAGTATATAATCGCAAATATATTGTTTTTTTTTTACCTTTTAACAAATATCTGTATATTTTTTCTTCTTTTTCTTCTCTCTTAACTTACACTCTTTTCTCTCTCTCTCCCCCCCCTCTCTCTCTCTCCCGCTCCACTTCTCTCTGCCTTTTTATCTTTCTCTTTTCTTTTTTTTTTGTTGCCGTTTTTTTCTTGTTCTTTTTATCTTTAACGTTTTTGAACATTTTCAGTCAGTTTACGTATACGTCTCAATTTGTTGTTGTTTTAAAACATTGTGTCAGTGAACAGCACAGTCCTACCCCTAATCCAGGCAAAAACCTTTTCTTTTTTCTGCTCACATAATTTTACCAAATCTATTCTTAGGTAAAGAACATAAAAAAAAAAAAAA